TTATCAACCCAGAAAGGGGAACGCTAACTGGAAATGAAAGGGCACCAATTAAGAGGAGTGGCACTTTGGTGCAAAAGAAGACAACATCGGTAAATCCATGTCTGCACATTATTAAGCTTCGTAATTTCTAGTGGGACTATGTGATTTTACACACAGACGCATGCATGCACGCACGCACACGCACACACACACACACACACACGCAGGAGTTCGTGATTTTTATTGAATTTCTGTTACTCATTCACTTTACATAGCCAAAGTCACTGTTAACCTCGACCATTGTTGTTAATGTCTCAAAAGAGTTTGAAAAAGAACGTGTATTTTGTCTTTTTTCTTTATCGTTAAGGGTGGTGATTATCATCATTACAACATGATAAAAATAATATGTCAATTATTATTACTGTCAACAATAACAATAAAAATACCCATCCATCCATTCATCCGTTTTCTGATCCACTTATACTCACAAGGGTCGCAGACATGCTAGAGCAGTCTGCAGTGTAAAACCCTGAACTGGTTGCCAGTCTATCGCAGGGCACACATAGACGAACAAACATTCGCACTCATGGTCACATCGAGGGACAATTCAGAGTGTTCCATTAACCTGCCATGCACGTCTTTGGAATGTGGGAGGAAACCGGAGAACCTGGAGAAAACCCACTCAGGCACAGGGAGAACATGCAAACTCCACTCAGGAAGTCTGGAGCCGGAATTGAACCCTTGCACCTCTGCACTGTAAGGCCAACGTGCCACCCTAATAAAAATGTATGAAATATGAAATGCTAGAATGGGGTGCCCAAACTTTTTGGACCGAAGATCAACTTTTCGATCAACTAACCTCCCGGGATCTACCCTTACCGCGCGCGCGCACACACACACACACACACACACACACACACACACACACACAAATTGATTTGCTCTTTGTTTCAGGTGCAAACTACCCTAAATGAGAATATCTCAGAAGGATAGCTTGCGCTGCAAGACCAGGGACAGTCAGTTTTTGAGAATAAATTTGAAGAAAACAGCTAACAACCCCAAACGAAATGTTCCGCAATGTTGTCAAATCAATTGGGCCATGTTTTTAGCTGTCTTTGGAAAATGATGGAAACCAGCTTGCATTTTTGCAATTGCTTAAAAGTATCATAAATTTAATGTGATTTCCTTTCCATTCAATTCAGTGGACTTCTTAAATATGTCAAATATCCTCCAAAAACTATATTTTAAAAAATATATGTGTAATGGACAGTCAAAGAATGAAGAGATTTTTGGGCGACTGACGACCTGTTGTTGGAGGGAATTTCTTGCTGGTCTTTTTCCCCGGTCCGGTGGACGGTTTTGGTTTGGCAGCACCACTGTCCACTGTTTTGAGAGGTTGTCTCAAAGGTTCTAAGCACAATCACACACCAAAACGACACAGTTACATCACGGCACAAGTGATTTCTATAATACGAGCTCTTAATCTATGACTGATTCCAGGAAAGCCCTCCGACCTTCCTTGTCCACCTGGAGCATGCCAGAGAGCAGAACAGCGCAACGATCCAGCCCCGAGTGCAGACTGGCAACCTGAGAGCAAAGTGTGGGATGTATTCACAATAATTTACAATTTGTGTACTTTGATGCAAAATGGCATGTTGGATGGATAATTGTCAGTAGCCTCGTTGAAGAGAACTGTTTGCTGCTTTAGGCGTCAAGAATGATTTGGAATGAATGTTGTGTCTCGTGCCAGTCTAAAATCCACAAGCTTTGGGCATTCAAAAACACATGTGTAAGTTTTTCAGATGTTATCATTCGTGATTTTTACATGTTTTGTTGGGAAAGCTATGGGACCACATTGTTTTGATAGCTAGCTAGCTAGCTCCTAACACCACACAACGTGATTCTTATTCTTCAGAGGACAGAGATACGGCAATTACTAAAGAGGGAAACTATTTTGTGTTTGTTTTGTTTTGTCAAGTTATTAAAATGGGTGTTGTATAGAGGAAGTACATTTCAGAATGTGTACTTATCTACTACTCTATAAGTGCAGGTGTTTAATCAGTAACTACTCCGGCCAATCTTTTTTTAATGTTTGTTTTTACTTTTGCCATCTCTGGTGAAGATTGCTTAGAAATAACCTACAATTCTTATTTTTTTCCCCCGTCAAGTTGCTTTCAAATTTTTTTTAATTATCAAGAACATTGCTATACAAAATGATCGTCACTGACCACCCACATCCACCCTTGTGTCCTAGCCTTTGTTCACCTGGTCTTTAGGATCTGTGGAATAAAAGGAGTAGGCCGGTTCCTTTCGACCTGGAAAGGTGGCTCTGTTCATATAATAGAAATAAAAGACAGTATATTTCTGAATAAGGAGTATGCTATTAATGGAAGAAGTGTAAAACACGCAATAACACAAAGAATGAACTTGCCGTTT